GGGGGGGGGGGAGGCGATGGGCACAGGCTGCTTCGATTAAGCGTGTCACACTCTCACAGTACAGCGTCACGCGGTGTACTCTCCGCCCCCCTCACCCTATCTGTCTCGCGGTGCGCACCGTTCGCCAGTGCTCCGGTGACAAGAGAGGTGCTAACACGCAAACACTACCGCACACCTCGCGGCGGGGGGCGGGCGTCTGGCCTGGAGGAGGAGGAGGAGGAAGAAGACTCGTCGGAGAGGAGGTACCGGGCGGCTGAAAGGACCTGGCTGGTCCTTGAGCGGGATTATGGAGCGCCACGGCGAGACGGGGCGGGACGGAGCGACGTGAAACCGGCGGGGCGGGGCGGGGCGAGGCAGGGCGGGGCGGGGCGACCTGAAGCTGCCTCGGCGCTAGCTCGGCGAGGCGCCTCGCGTCTGAAAGCTGGGAGAGAGTGGCACGGTGAGATGAAAAAGGGAGGCGGTTGGGCTCGTCCAAAAACGAGATTACATTTGTAGCTAAAAGGAATGGGAGGCGGAGGGGGTCCTCCCTCCTCCGTGTGCTGCGCCGGCGAGGCGCCGGGCACTCCGAGGGAGACCTGAGTGAGGCGAGTGCCTTCATGTCTCGTGTGTCTCCCCGCAGAGCCTGCGCAAGAGTGTGGTGCTCGGTGATGACGAGGGTGTTGCTTCTGTCTGTTCCAGGAGTCGGCCAGGGCAGGGATGTGCCGGGCCCGGGTGCACCGGGCCTCGCTGCCTGTCGCCGTCCTGCTGTGGTTGGCGGCAGCGGGGGCGGCCGGCGGAGATGTCCTGGGGGGCGGCGGGGCCGGGGCTAGCCGCCTCGAGTGCCCCGAGGTGCGGCGCTCGCCGCCGGCCGCCGCCCCCGGCCCCAGCCTGCTGGCGCACTCGTGGCCGCCCGAGGTGAAGCAGGCCCTGGGCGCCTCGCGCGGGCTGTGGGCCGCACTGGACCAGCCGGGGGCGGCGCAGGGCCCCGGGGCGGCGGACGCCTGGGAGAGGGCCTCCAGGGCGCTACTCAAGGACCACCGCGCCGTGGAGGCCGTGGCCGTGCAGAGTCCCAGCATGCGGCTGCTCGTGTACCGCAGGTGAGTCTAGCTGCACGGGACCTCAACAACCGACGGGTACTTCACTAGCACAAAGTCATTTTTTTTTACAAAACAAAAATCAATTTAAAAATTTAGAAAAAGTAAATT